GTTTCTTATTAAGAACTTCATCATAGTTATGTTTATTAATCAATTGGCATCAATTAATTTGAGCCCTAATTACTCATTTGTCAGATTTTAATCTTCTAATAATACATAATGTCTTTAGGCATGGTAGTAAGTTCACACCATGTGATGCAAGCAATCAAGCCCAACTTTCTATCAGGGGAGATCAATGAAATTTTACAAACTTCAAGGTAGGTCAGTGAAATAGCTAGAATTCTTAGGGGAGGTTTCTAAAATCATCCCTGAAATTTATTACGTACGTTTTATTTGCTGTAACATTTTTTTATTATATTTTTTACGGTTCACCCCCCAACAAAATCTTGGGTCCACCGTTGCAAATAAGCATAGCTGATGCACATGTTTCACAGAAAAGAATCAAATAACTCTTTCAATTTTAACTTGATTTCACATAAAAGGTAAGAGGAATCAACAAATTTATTTATTTAAATTTGTAATCCTAGATTTGAACTTGTTAAGGGAACCTAATGTATTGGGCGAAAAGTGTAGCATGACTTGTATATACATCATTATTACAATAAGCTAACTATAGACTTGCCCATTCAAGAAAGGATGATATATGGCCTAGTCTAAATCTTTCTTGAGGATTAGAAACACAATAAAAAAAATTACTATAGAAAGTTCACCTGTTCCCAGAAAAAAAAAAATGGAAAGGATAAGTTCTCCCTTGGCGGTTGGGACTTCTTATCTAAATAAAGGTGCACCACAGCACCAGTGCAGGTAATTATGTGATCAATCAATAAATAAACACAGTCTACATCCCGGTATAAGTTTTTATCGGCCAAGAAATATGTAGAGCGTTCTACTTCTTTTCCGTTCATATTGTTCATCGATTAAATACAGTTCTTATGTTAGTAGTTTCTTCTATATCATTTTCCCTTTTTTCTTTCCTGTCCTATTCTTTTGCTTATTCTAGGGATGGCAGTTAATGGGGCAGGGGTTGGGGTGGAGGGGGGGGGGGGTTTTTCTCCCCCGTTAAGAAATTGGGCCGGGGACGGGGGAATATATCCCCGCCCTATCCCCCGCCCAGCCACCCACAAAATATATATATATTTGATTAATGTATATTTATATATATATATAATATTTAATTTAATTAGTTACAAACTTATAATAATATTATTATTATTAGTTATAAGTATTATATAATATATATTAGCATATGTAATATAGTTGATATTATCAATTATACTAATAATTATACATGTCTATTAATAGAAATTAGTAATTAGTTATACTAGATTTACTAATGCATTTATACTAAATTGCTAATTACACTTAACACATTAACGCTTTTTCTCAAAAAAAAAAATACAATAATGATTTAATGATTGTATTTATTATAAAAGTGAAAACTTGATTATTTTAGTTGTATTTGTTTCATCATGTTGTATTGTATTCAAATAGTTTTTGTTTGATCATTTTTATGGGTTTCAATTATAAAATTACAGTGAATAATGATTTGATGATGTGTTGATATTTTATTACTTAATTATTTACTAAAATTTGACTACAATAAAATTATATAATAAATTTTTATTAACCCCGCGGGTGCCCCACGAGAGAAGCTGGGCGGGGGATGGGGCGGGAACAGGAGGAAGTAGTGGGCAACAGGGCGGGGGCTGACGTTGCCATTACAAGCTTATTCCCTGCCATTGTACAAAAATTGCAAGTATTAATTGTGACAGTTTAAATTTGTCCTCAATCTAATTTTTTTAAAAAAAGAAAACTCCTTTTCTTGCCTCAAATTTTCACTACAAAATTGCTTTAACCTTTACTGTTGGCCTACTTCAATCAGATTCTTCTACACAAGATTATACTTCATTTAACTTCAAGAAAACCCCACTTTTCTGTATCGTTTTCCCTAACAGTTTATCATGAAGGTTTTATTTTCCTAACACTTTTCTTGTTTAGTTTTTTTTCCTAACGATCTAAGTAGACAGGAAGAGAATATTATGCATTAGTTTGCCATGTCAACGTATAAGTATAAATCCAAGTAGGAGTGGGATGTATATTGCTCCTATACACACATCAAATCAATTGATCCTGAAATTACTTAGGAAAGCGAATTATTTCGAAACAACCAGATGTAAATCCATTACCGTATGGAAAATGAAGAAATAGGGTGAACTAATAAATCAAGGCCACCCTGGCTATTCTTATGTTAAAAAAAAAAAAAAATCAAAACCCATCCTTATATTCAGTAATGACTTGAAAATTTTCCCTTCCTAGTCTGAAGAAACTTTAGACAACGAGAGCCCTCAAAATCCAGTTTGCAAGAAAAGACAAAAATGAAGTAAAAAAGAGCAATGGATGAATCTCGTCGAGGTGACAATAATGCTTCAACTTCAAGATCAAGATCAACATCGACTTTCACATGTGGGGATATGCTTCGGATCCCTGTCATCGAACAAGAAGTTCAAAAAAAGGGGGGCCGTGAACACGACTTTTGCAGTGTGAACACGACTTTTGCATGGATTGCATAGCGAATTATATGAAGGCAAAAGTCGAAGATGAGAATACAGCAAATCTGAAGTGCCCCAATTCAGATTGTGACAAATTCTTAAGCCCTCTTGAATGAAAGGCATTAATCTCCCAAAAACTTTTTATCGAATGGAGCGATTGTATTTGCAACTCATTCGTGCTTAAGTTTCCGAGGTGTTATTGTCCTAACAACAATTGTTCCACATTGATCATCAACGAGTGCCAAAAAAGATGTACCAGATCTCTGTGTCCAAATTGCAAAAGACTATTTTGTTTCAATTGCCAAGTGCCGTGGCATGCAGGATTTAAATGCAGTGAAACTGGTCAATATAGAGATGAAATTGATTTGGAATTTGGGAGGCTAGTGCAGGAGAGTATGTGGGCAAGATTCCCTAGATGTGGTCACGTTATTGAGCGAACACATGGTTGCAATACTATGCGATGCAGGTTAGCACTATTTGCACTGTTTAAATTCAAGATAAAGTTTTATATTGATTAGTTTCTACCTTCTATCAAAGTTTAATATAGTATTCTATGTTTATTTTTATTTTCTATTTTCTTGGACGAAAGAAGACTTCTAGTCTTGCAACAGAGAAAGGGGAAATAGAAGGGTTTGAGAGTTAAATCAAGAATCTTATCTGATTAATATCCCTACTAATTAAGTTAGATTTTGGAGGCTGATGATTAAGTTTATTCACAGTAAATTAAAAGTATTTTGTCTTTTCTTTTTTGAGTTATAGATAGAATGAAGAGGGAATATATGGGGATCGGGGAACTAATTTATGAATCAAAATCTTGACGTCAATGCATAGAAAATCTTTCAATTAATAAAAAATCTTTAGAGAAGACTCTAGCCAATTTGGGATGCATTTGTAATTGGGGTTTAACCAAATATTTAGTGTGTCAACCAAAGGGAGGATTTTAGCAGATTTTGAAGTGTGATAAAGCTGTTTTTAAGGTGTTAATTGCCCTCTTAGAGGATTTGCCACCAGTTAAACTATCCCTACAATACAACTAAATCTGAAGAGTTATGAGTTAGTAAAGTTTGAAAATTAGCCTTAACAATTAAAACTCAACAAAGTGAAATCCAGTTATAAATAAAAATTTGAGTAGACTTTCAATTTAAGGAGAACAAAGTAGTTAAAAATCTAATTGAATAGGGAGGACATACCTTGGTAGATAAAATTAAACAAGTATGTCTGTTACATTGTAGATATTGAAAACGAATTTAATTTTGCAACTATTTTCTGGAATTAGTATAATTAGATAATTATGAAAATATTGTATGGTACCCCTTTACCAATTGCTAGTTGGTAAAGACTCTCATCATGAAGCACATGTAAATTGTACAAAGCAAATTTGAACCGCCAAATATATAGTTTCCTAAAAAATAACTATACAAACATGCAGACTAGATACATACATCACAGACACACACATATATATACACACACGCATATATATGCACACACTTATGTATCTTTATTCTTCACACAGTTTACTAATGATGTGCAGATGTGGGCAGCAATTTTGTACATGTGCATAGATTGCTTTTTCGAGACAGATCTTAAGTGCATCAATTTTTACACATCAGAGAACTAGCTAATTAACTTCTCTTATCTATTGCTCAACATTACAAATTACTTCCTTTCCTAATAGTCACATCTTCAAGTTTCAATTTTTTCATAAGAGTGTTCCATCTACATACTAATGAACTGAAACTTTTGGCTGCAGATGTGGGCAGCAATTTTGTTATAAATTTGGCCGTTTGCGGCATCCGGGTGCATGTAGTCCGCTATATGAAGAAGAGGACAGGACTTCATTCAACTGTTATGAATATTTTGGCTTGCTATTTGTCCTTGCAATATACTGGTGTATTTTTTTCTTTATTAAAAGTAGTGATTAAGAAGCAGCTGAGGAATAATGCCTATGAATACTAGTGCTACAAAATTAAGCGAATTAGACGATTTCACGTTTTTCACTACTTTTAGAACGTATTCTTTTAAAAATTAATATTTTATACACTGACAGTGTATACACTTTTATCATTGGATGCATGACACAGAATCCAAATTTGAATTTGATACCCAAATTTTGTACATGTGTCGTGCATCCAACCATGATAGTGTATACATTGTTAGTGTATATAAGATTTATTTTTCTTTCAAATGAATATAAAGTTGGATTATTATAACGCTAATACCTTTATACAAATGAACAATGAAGAGAAGATAATCAGACGTTATATTCATTTCATGTATCATTGTTCTATTGAATGTGTTTGGTGATACTGCAAACTTTTAAAGAACTTTAAAGAAGATGATTTGCTATTAAGATTGTGGCCCTATAAATTGATTAAATGTCCGAAGTTCAAATCTCTTTGAAGTACAAAATTACGTGATACATGCTGTGAAGATTCATAAAGATACTTATAACACTCGCTGCAGATTGGAAGCTCACTTGTTTATCTACTTTTCCATATCCTATTTCTCTGCTTCCTGCAGATCCAACATACCAATAAGGAAAAATTTAAATCTTTTTTTTCGAAAATCAAGAACATAATCAAAAAATCAAGCCTTTTTTGCAAGAAAGAAAAATAAAAAAATTTAAATTCCTTTTTCTGCAAGAGAAGAACCCATTGAAAAAATGGAGCATTTTCGTCCAAAAAAGAAACGAATAACAAAATCAAAATTTTTTAAAAAACGGAGACCCAATACATTAGGTTTCAGAATTCACAAAGAAATGAGGAACAAAAATTACACATTGCAATTAGAGGGGTAGACAAAATTTGCCTTCAGTTTGAGGATTTTTACATATGTATACCTCTAGGAGGATTTTTCACATCATGTGAAACACTGGCTTTCATTGTATACCGAGGTATTATTATAGATATACCTTCTTCAAATGTTGACAATACAGAAACATGTTTCTTTAGCTTGCCTTCTGACTGAGTAATGACTTTAAACAAAAAGTTATCATTGGAATTTTGTTGTACAACTGGTTCGATAGCAATACATTGTTGCCTATCAGCCCTTTTTTTCCATTCTGTTGTAGAAGTGGCTTAATAACAATAGGCTGCTGGTTATTGTAGTCACTGTTTTGCAGCAGCTCACATGAAACTGGAACTTCTTCTACACCTATAACAGTGTAACGTTCAGTATAGCAGTGCAACGTCAGACAAAGACCACGTTCAAGTAAAGTCTGGATATGAGTTAAAAGCTTTCGATAATTTACACTGTGTTCATCATAATGAAAATTACAGTTTTGAGTAAAATACTGGTGTGGTCTGAAAATTACACTGGAATGATTTCTTCATTCACATTTGTTTCTTACAGAATTTGGTCTGAATTTACACAAAGATTTTTAATCATCTATTTAAGCTAGTCAAGCAGGAGACTGAATAGATTAATATAAAGGCAGAACATGAAACATATATACAACAGCTTTTACTTTCTTGTTGGTTTATAGAAGACCTTGATGTAGCTGCTTTTCTTGCTTTCTCTTTTGATAAGCTTCCCTCTGTGTGACTCGACGAGCTTCTTTTTGTTCCACTGATAAGGAAGCATATCTTTCTTTTAATTTTCAATTGCGAAGAATCTTCTTATTCGTCAAATTTGCAAACGCATCACTTGTAGACATTGTACACTAAATATCCAAAGTTAACACTATGCATGACAATAGCAGGCCGATTAAATTCGAAAAGGCAGCAAAATGCAAAATCTAGTTTAAAGGTGATAGCATAAATAAGGCCAAAAAACAAAAGGATTTTTGGAAAGGAATAACAAAGCCACCAGGATAAAGCAGGAATATGCAAGCACTTACAAGGTATCCACTTGCAAGAAACCGATATTGAAGGGAATCTCACCAGTCAACTGATTATACGACAAATCCCTAGGAATGATGCAAAAGCCAGTTCAAATTTCAAAACACTAAAACCAATTCAAAATTTGGTTCAAGCATTTTTGTCGAGGTACATACAAAACCTGGAAGGCTGTACAATTTCCAATATTCTCTGGAATAGAACCAGTCAAGCTGTTGTTTCGGACATCACTGAACAGACAACTGAAACACATGAGCAATGAACCTGATCTGATGTAGCAGGCTGGTGATATATCAAGTTTGAAGTAAAGCACAGGTGACTTACAAGTACCACAGGCCCGTGAGCTGACACATATTTGGTGAGAGAGTTCCAACCAACTTGTTCCCACGCAAACCCCTGTAAGAGCACATAGCCGCACACGTTTTTAAACTAAACTTGGATCCAGAACTGACAGGTTGTCGAAGCCTGTGCAATAATAAAACCTGCTCAAACTAAAAGTGATTTCTGTAGATAGCGGTGAGCAGGGTCGAATCCACAGGGACTGGGAGTAATTATTTCTTTTCAAGTTCACAGTGACAAGGGGGGTGTTTTTGTGCAGAAGGTGACAATCAAAGAAAGTTCAAATAAAATCTAAGAAACTACTAAAAATTAAATAACAAAAAATTACTAAAATCAAATGAATGGTAATTAAGGATCTAGCCAAGGAATAACTTCAGCAATGGTTCACCCAATTGATCATCGATAAGCAAAGGCAATTCCAATTATTTACTAATAAATAGGTTATAACTGCCAAACAAGCGATGACAGTCAACCCCTCCTTACTGTGTCGATGATTAAGGTACGCCCGTTAATCACTGCTCTAATTGAGAAATAATTCTAGGTACGCCCATAGAATTTAATTCCCCAATTGCCTTACGTATTAGAGGAGCCCTATTCTAATCAAATAACGCACTACCAGGGTTATTTTAGATTAGCCCGCGTATTCCCCTGACACAAGTCTAATTATGCCAGTTGCCACTATTTTAGAGCAATTAAACAATTACGGATTTAATGCCCTAATTGACAATAGATTATCCAATCAACTAATTATCTGGATCCAAGACAATCAATTAATTAAATAACCATAAACATAGCAACCAAGAAATATGCGGATACCAATAAATGAAAGAAAAAGATAAAATTAAATCGATCTCACAAATTTTAGGCGACCCAGAGCCTTCGTTGTTCCTTGACTAGAGTGAGGGAATTAGTTCATAATTGATGAACAAAATCCACACAAAATTGAAACAAGAGTCGCGGCCATCAACTCCGAAATTGGGAAATGCAATTCACTCGAAGGAATAAAGCAAAGTAAAGTAACAATGGATGATTTAGTCTTCAGTGCTCCTGACTCACGTAGGAGGTAGCCACAAAAGATTCCAAGGAAAAGTCAAAAGCTCTCCACTACAAGACGAAGGAGACCAAACGGTCAAAGGAAAAGCTAAACTATAAAAATGGAAAAACTAAGAGGGAAGCCAGCTCCCTGCTGTGCGGCGGCTCCCCCAGGGGGAAGAAGAAGACCCCCTTTCGGTTAGCCCTTCCAAAATAAAGGGCAGGAGATCTTTTTTTCTTTGCCAACACTGCCCTTGGGCTAAGCTCTGTGACTTGGGCCCCTTTTCCCCACAAATTGGCACTTGTTATCGTATTTTCGTTCTACTCCCTGAAATACATGTAAACTACGAAAAGTGAGTAGAATCTAATAATTAATCCATATCAGGTCAGGTAATAGGGAAAATTAATAATAAAATAAATGACAAAATCGCACCCTATCAAGAACTTAAAAAAATAGTTCATTAAAACATAGTAGTACTTGAATACACTTAAAATCCAAATTACTGTACTCACAAATATTGCAGTACTTCATTCCAATATATGAGTCTTGGTATTTCTCCGCTCAAACTATTTTGTGCCAAGTCACTGGAATGGTACAGTTTCTGACGTTAAGTACCAAAAGCTTAAGTAGAAGAAAAAAAAACTCTCATTTCCTCTAGAGATTAAATTACTCTAAGACCAGTAATATCTTGAACTTACAGAACTTTCAAGTTAGACTCCTCTCAGTGTAGAGGAAACTCTCTCTCTTGGGTTTTGAGCCTCCCTTCCCCCAGTGGTGGGAACTTCAGCTTTTTCAAACTTCTTCAAACTTCTTCAAAAAACACAATCCCCGCAACTCATCATTCATGGAGAACAATCCAACTACAGATCACAAAGGTCTGAATCCAACACAGAGTTAATATAGCACTTTTGACAGGTGCCGAACCTGTACAATAATAAATACCTACTCGAGAAAAATACAGATTTTGTATATAGCGGTGAGTAGGGTCGAATCCACAGGGACTGGGGATAATTTGTTTCTTCTAGAGTCCAAAGTATGGGGGGTTTTTGGATCAAATATTAACTAAATAAATTAACTGCAGAAAATAATTAATTTAAAGAAATAATTGGAGAAACTCTAGCCAAGGGTATACTTCAGAAATGGTTCATGCACTGATCATTGATGCAGAAATAATTCCAACATTTATTAATAGATTAGTTATAGTTGTCATGCACGCGATAAACAACCAACCCTTCCTTAATTTATCGATAGCTAAGGTACGACCGTTAGCTATTTCCCTAACCCAAAAACAACCCCAGGTATAACCGTAGGATTTAATTTCTGGTTTGCATTAATAATTAGAAAGGCCTAATCCTAACCAACAAACACGCTACGAGGGTTTGTCTAAACTAGATCATATGCTCCCCTGACATAAACCCAATTACGCCAGTTGCTACTGAGGTAGAGATAACGAACAATTACGGATTCAATTACCCCTAACTAGCAAATAGCCTACGTGAATAATTAAATATTGCGCATCTATTCAATCATACACGATAGCTATAACAACAATTTAAAGCAGAAAACATATAAATACCAATAAATGAAGGAAACAATTAAAATAATTTAGATCTCACAGTTATGGTTGAACCAAGTCTTCAGTTGTCCCCTTGACTAGAATTAAGAGATTAGTCCTCCATTAATGGAGAACAACCATGCGAAAGAGCTAAGAAAAAAAATCTAAAACTATGCTAAAAACTAAGCTAAAACTATTGATTCCTAACCTCTCGTACGTTTCTCCCTTTTTAAAAGCCAAAAGGAAGTCTAATGCTATCTCTAGTGGTCCCCACACCAAATTCAAAGTCCTGTACGTTTCTTTTCCTAGAGTCCAAATGACTTATGCTTCTTATCCGTGGTCCCCGCACATGTGGACAAAACCTCCAAAGTACTTGTTTCTCCAAGTCTCTCTACGTAGCTTCTTTTGAAGAGCCCAAATGGCTAAATGCCTTTCACTAGCTTCTGGTCCCCACCAATTCAAGAGCCCAAGAATTGAAGCCCTTAGAAGTCTCCATATTTTCCATAAAGTCCCTCCTTTTTGGTAGTTTTCTGCTTCATTCCTGAAATTAAGTACAGATACCAAATATGAGTAAATATTAACAATTAAGCAATATTTGGCAAGGATAAAAAGGGAGATTAATAATAAAATAACCAACAATTAACACCCTATCAATTCCCCCCACACCTAAATCATGCTTGCCCTCAAGCATGGGAACAGCAACTGAACACCAAAAATTCGACAATGGCTATTGCTCCAACTACCGTATTGCCAAGATGTCCAAGAAAAATAAATATCAAGCATCACAGGTCAACATCCAAGAAAAATCACTCCGGTTAGCTTCTAAACCACAAGATCCTCTAATTTCATGTTAACTAATCTAAGAAGAAGGAATAACGCATAACATTTATCAGCAAATGGTCCAACTATTAACCAAAATCTCAACATTAAATCCATAATTCGGCAAGCTGACTTTTATTATACACTAACACAACCTTCACTTTTTTTTCACATTTTTTTTCTACTTTTTTCTCTTTTTTTTTTTCCAATAGTAACAAAAGACTTAGTCGCTAGCCATTTGAGCCTTTTGACGCGAACTCCAACATTGGCCAGATGAAGGAGCCCGGTTACTCAGCTTCTATCGCCACGTGACCACGTACTCATAGCAATTACTACTTTTTGACGCGAGAATCAACACTTTTAGGTGCAGATCCCCGGTTACTCAGTAGTAACTAATAGCGGAGTACAGTCCAATTTATTCATAGCTAAAAATCACAAAAACTTAATATAACACAAGAACCAAAAGAAAACTTGCATCAGCTAGCCTCATTTTCAAACATGGAGAACTAAAGTTAATAACCGGACCAATTCACATGAAAATGCCAATAATCATTCGCTATGCCTAGAAAAGTTAACCAAAAATTATAAGAATGAAACAATCATCGATATTCACCAAAGAGATGTTTTTGGATTCAACCACATTAACTTGATACCCTTTTATTAGTAAATCTTGGCAAAAGCAGAAATAGAGGCAATAATCCAACATCAAACCTTGGCATGCACTTACGATCCAATCACTAAAAAGAAGAAAAAGAAAATGAACGAAAGACACTAGCACCATAACTGCTCCCCCCCACACCTAAATCCTACATTGTCCTCAATGGAGCAATTAAAGCAATTAAAGTGAAGAGGACAACGAAACTTCCCTCTTTGAGTGGCCAAGAGGTAGGCGGGGACGGTGGAGGAAACCAATGGGGTGGAAGTACGCGCCCAAGTTCTGAGACATCATGCTCAATTCAACCAGCAAATGCAAAACTCTGTCCACCCAAAATCTCAACAAATAGCTCCAGTTGGCCAGTTAATGCCTTAACTCAGAATCAGAAATTTCAACATTGAGAGTTTAGGTATTGGACAATAACAATTCAGTCAATTAGACAGCCAATCAGATGGATTTACCAAATCTAGTCAAAATACCCCAACCAGTACCATTGGTGCACCCCACAGATAATGAAGCAACTTAAATGGCAAACCCAATCAACAAAATGTACATGTGAGGCACCCAAGGTCTATACAAATGTCCCAACAAAGCAGCAATTTCAATCAATACTCACGGGTGGCCCCAATTGGGTCAAATGCAGGCAGTCCAAAATCGCAACAAATGCTCTAAAGATTTAGCAATTGAAATCAATAGGTAAAATACTCCCAGCAAGTCAATTAGACGCCACCAACAGCAATAAGCAATGGAAGTGGCATAGTAGCCTTCCAATTCAACAAATGCAGAAAATACCCAACCAAAGGCACTTCAAGGGACGCAAGACAGAAATCAGCAAAGTAGAACCCAAATGATACCAAAAATAACCTTAACAAAGCAGTGAATTCAACCAATTTGAATACGTAGAATACGGTCGGAAATGCCTCCCAAAGATCAACGGAGAGCGGCAAAACTTGCCCACCCAAAATCTGTTCAAATGGCTCCAATTGGACAAGAAATTGCACAACTCAAATGATCAAAACTTAGCAATTGGGCCAAGCAGCAGGCAATGGCAACAACCAATGGTTAGAATTCGAGAACAGTTCAGGCACGAAAACCCAAAAATCAAATATGCAGGCCAGTACAGAGGATTAAGAAATGGAAAGCAACACTGCAACCAGTACCACTGGTGCACAGACAGGAAAGAATTAAATTCAATGGCAGCAACTCAACCGCAAGAACTTAAACTGGAAAATTAATCAACCAGTACCACTGGCGAGTCACAGGGAAAAATTAATCAACCGGCCACAAATAATAGCAGAAAATATCCCCACTATGTCAGCAATTCAACGTAATATCACCCTTAAAATGAAACCCAGAAAAATGCCCAAATCATCCCCTGCTTTATCCGGCAAAACGCCCAAGACAGAGACACATACTCCAGCAATTTCCAATCTAGAAAAATGCTAATCAGGGGAAGAAGTCAATACCTCCACCTGTCAAAGAAATGTGACAGGTGGCCTGCGCTATGTAGACTGGCGGTGGAGCTTGGAGGTGCTAAGGTGGAGCGGCGGTGGTGGTGCGGCGTGGGTTGGTGTCGCACGATGCTGCCGCGCGGCTAGAAGAGGAGTTCGGCGGCGATGGCGACTCGGCAGCGGCGAGTGAAGAAGGAAAGAAACGGGGAGACGCGGCCAGAGAGCGTGCGCGGAGCACGTCGTGGCTGGTGGTGATGGATCGTCTGCGAGGAGTTGGGCTGTGGCGCTTGGGCGGCAGCGGCTTCAGAGGGGGGAACACGAGGGGAAGTGGTGGTTTCCGGGCTGGTGGAGGTCTTTTGGTTGGCGGCAGTGGACCAGGGAGGAGGGGAGAAGGTGGCGCGCGGTTGGAGTTGATGGCGATCGAGGAGCGGCGGACACAGAGTAGAAGAAAGAAAGAAAAGGAAAGAAAGAAGAAAGAAGAGAAAAAAGAAAGGAATTCTCTTTTTATTTTTTTTTTTTGAAATTTGAAAACCAACGCTGCGATTAAAATTATGTCCCCTTTTTTTTTTTGGAATTTTTTTTTAAATTGAATTGAGATTGGAAAATTCGATTTTTGAAAACCAAAACTGAAAATGAAAAAGAAAATTTTTTTTTCGAAAGTGAAAAATTACAGCCCTTTTTTTTTTTTTTTAAGTGAAAAATTATTTCCTTTGTTTTTTGGGTCGTCAAACATGGCGTGGGCACGCCAAGATTAGAGAGCATCCACTGACTTCGAGAGTTACCTTACGCACTTTAACGCGTGCCCTCCTCGCGTGGGCACGCCAAGATCCCATTTTCTACCAGTGTCGCGAGATGTTGAGAATTTACCAACACGGCGTGGGCACGCCATGTTTTACCACCATCCACTGACCATGGGACTTGGACTTAGACGCTTAACGCGTGCCCTCCTCGCGTGGGCACGCCAAGATTACCTATCCTGATCAGAGTTAGAAAACATCAAGAGTGACTAATACCCACGTGCGAAACGACATAATTTAATAATTAAGCACTAAAACAACAAAATTAACAATTGGGTTGCCTCCCAAGAAGCGCCTTTTTTTAATG